TTCGCCCATAAAAATGGATCCCCTGGAATTAGTTTGTATGCAAATTGGTATACGATTTGCGCGAGTGCAAGAGAGATGGATGTAGAGGGAGAGACTGTCGTTTTGGTCGTCGCGACGTCGACGTCGATCGGACCAGATTTATGGCGCATCTGAGCCCTGGCGCTTCCACCCGAAACCCGCGTATTACAAGGGTATTCCCCGGTCGACCGACGGTAAATACACTTGCGGGCCCGACTCTCATTAAGCGGGATTATTTTAGGATATGAAATAACTTCGAGTCGATATTACGTAAACAGCGGACGGAAAACCGCAGTTTAAAATCCACTAGAATTTACTTAAAACTACTTTTCCGACATACGCTTTTCATTTTGCACGAACGACCGTCGTTCATTGTCCTTCAACAAAATTTCATTACGTAATTCCTTTAAATATTACGAAAACTTTTCACATTTTCGAAAACTTTAGACGCTAATAATTATAATCAAGTTTTTTTCTAAATTCACATTATAAAGAACATCGAAATGCAACAAAGTTTCTGATCATTAATAATGCAACTAGAATTGTACCAATTAATCATAGTTAGTATTACATAAGCTACAAATGCCACAAATGATTGATTATTGACAAACTCGAATTACGTTTAATGACATTTTATATTTATTACATAACTAACATTGATTTATAATAATTCTATAATTCTTACATAATCTAGCATTGTTTAATTTATGTAAATTTTATATTATAAACTATAAAAAAATAAAATGATAGGTCGAAAAACACATTTTAATGAATTTCTCATAAACTATAATAGGCAGAATGGACCCAAAAGACGCATACCAAACTTGGATACTTGGGAAACTAAACGTGTATTAATACATTACTGTGGTTTCCTCCGCTTGACTGCAATGTTCGTTCAAATATGCAGCAATAATAAATTAACGCTTGAAAACGCAATGTCTACAAAATTTACATCTATTTCCACCTATGATAACTTTTTTTTAAAGATGTCATGCGTTTCTAAGACATAAGAATAACATGTAACCTTGGAGATTGTTGATTTCATAATTAGCAATTACCATCTGACTGTTAATTCGAAGTTAATTAACAAACGTATTTAATTATTTTTTAATCCCGTTTCTTCATACTGCTCAGTGAAAAGAAGGAAACCAGATCATGGAATACTCGGAGCAAAATGAATACAAAAAGAACTAAATGTAATTAGACGTTAATTTGAGTGTATTCAATTATCTTTTAATAAACACAAATTATATATACTTTTTGTTCAGATTTTTTTTTTCATAAAAATGTACAATGTTTCATTACATTTCTTTTAATTATTTGTTAATAATCAATGCAAAGAGAGAAATTAAGTTAATAAACAATTATGATTGTGAATTACATAAAAATAAAGCTAAAAAAACGAAATTCTTACCTTTATTTTACTTTTTACTCTTCAGTTTTTGAATGAATTTCAGGTAGTTTATGATATATTTAAATAATTGTTAATATTTTTATTGGGTAATTAAGAATTAGATAACAATGAAAGTAATTTAAGTATGTATATTTATTAAAAGAAGATTACAATAATATTTACAAGTTTTTTGTTGTTGTTGTTGTTGAGGAAAATTATGGTTGCTCCGCGATTCCTAATTAGAAAAATATGACTTAAGCTTCGTTTAAATACGTTTGCTTCGGAATTACGTAATGTAAACGCAGCTCAGGTTTTTGTAAATTAAATGTGTTTGGATATAGTTATGTAACTGATGCATTGTAACTGATGCGTTTCTAAGACATAAGAATAACATGTAACCTTGGAAATTGTTGATTTCATAATTAACAATTACCATCTTAACAGTCAGATGGTAATAGTTAATTATGAAAAATGTACAAATTTACAATGTTTCATTACATTTCTATTAATTATTTGTTAATAATCAATGCAAAGAGAGAAATTAAGTTAATAAACAATTTGATTGTGAATTACATAAAACTAAAGCTAAAAAAAAACGAAATTATTTCTTACCTTTATTTTTACTTTCTTTAGTGTTTTCTTCAGTTTTTGTTCGAGTTTCAGGTTTGTGATTAAATTTTATTTAACTAATTTTTAATATTTCTTATTGGGTAATTAATAATTAGATAACATCAAAAGTAATTTAAGTATGTATATTTATTAAAAGAAGATTACAATAATATTTACAAGTATTTTTGTTGTTGTTGTTGAGGAAAATTATGGTTGCTCCGCGATTCCTAATTAGAAAAATATGACTTAAGCTTTGTTTAAATTCGTTTGCTTCGGAATTACGCAATGTAAACGCAGCTCAAGTTGTTGTAAATTAAATGTGTTTGGATATAGTTATGTAACTGATGCGGTTGGAATCCGTTAGATGGCGTTTTCGGCTACGGTTGTTGTGGGGGTGTTTTGGTAGCGGAACCTTCTCACCACTTGATGATTGTTGTTCGGAGAAGTCCTCATCATCGAGGCCGATCTGACTGGAACGCTGCATGCGGATGTTGAGAGTCTATTGCCATTCTTCCGCCTCATGCTGATGTAGGTTGTACAGGTGTTGTTTCGATGAAGCAATGTACTGTCCGTCCCCCCTTCGACGCCTGCCGGAAAAGCTAAATTCAATTCGCTAATAATCACCTTCTAAACTCGTGCAGAAGAGCTTCAGCAATCGTCGATTGATTGTAATAGTATTGAGTAATAGATAGAGAAAGAGTGAGAGGAAACGTACATACATAGACTTACTTGTCAGAGGGAAGCTGGTCGAAGGTCGATGGAGGATGCGGGTGGCGCAGCACTGTCTCAAGCAAGGAACCGAACTCAACACCTGGAAGAAGCAAGTCCGGAATCTGCTGTTCATGTAGCAATAGATGATGGGATTGTAGCAGGTGTGCGACATGGCGAACCAATGACTCGAGAACCACAGGTAGGTCATCAATCTCTCGTCCACCTCGTAGTTATCGGCGATCAGCTGAAAATATTGATATGAAAAGTGTGAAGAGATGAAAATTATCGTTCGTTCTGGTAATCCTCTTAAAAAATAATTTGCCCGTTTCACATGCTGCGAACAATAAAGCGCTCACACGTCCAAAGCCAATTTGCACGCCAAGTGAACACTCAATTGCCAATCATCTAATCTCATTCATTCCATTGCAGCAGGACTCTGCTTATCAATTTCAGTTTGTACTCACCCAAATTAAATTTAGAGGCAACCAGCATATCGTGTACACGACGACAACGGTGATCATCATCTTGACCATCTGGAATTAATCGACAAGACACAATTTCATTAGTTTTCTATTAACAGATTTTTTTTATTATATTGGATTTCCTCATCGGAAATTTATATCAATCAATCAATATTCTCATTATATTAAAAATAATAAAAGACAGAATAATTCAGTTATTTGAATTTAGACAATCTTATAACAAATTTACAAATAAAGCAGAGTTTAATCAATTTTATTAAATCATTATCAATTTTTCAACTTTGAACGCGTATTACAAAAATATGGATAAGAGCACAGGAATGTATCTACACTTGCTGGCTTCCCCAAACATTCAGCTTTCATATGCATTTTTTCGATTCATTCTATCTATTATAGTTTTCAAGTAAATCAATGAAATGTGAAAACACTGCTTTTTCGAGCATTTTTTCAACTTTGAACGCGTATTACAGCAATATGGATAAGAGCACAGGAATGTATCTACACTTGCTGGATTTCCCAAAAATTCAGCTTTCATATGCATTTTTTCAATTCATTCTATCTATTATAGTTTTCGAGAAAATCAAAGAAATGTGAAAACACTGCTTTTTCGAGCATTTTTTCAACTTTGAACGCATATTACAGCCAAACAGCTAAAACCACAGTAATATATCGATATTTCCTAGATTCCCCAAGCATTCAGCTTTCATATGCATCTGTTGGATTCATTCTATCTA